GTTGCAAACATAACATGTTTAAATCTCACAGGTTGTCACTTTACTCTCCAGACTGTCACGTTACTCTTCAAGTTGTAACGTTACTCTCCAAGTTGTCACGTTACTCTCCAAGTTGTCACGTTACTCTCCAAGTTGTCACGTTACTCTCCAAGTTGTCACGTTACTCTCCAAGTTGTCATGTTACTCTCCAAGTTGTCATGTTACTCTCCAAGTTGTCACGTCACCCTCCAATTGTCACGTTACTCTCCAAGTTGTCACGTTACTCTCCATGTTGTCACGTCACTTTCCAAGTTGTCACGTTATTCTCCAAGTTGTCACGTTACTCTCCAAGTTGTCACGTTACTTTCCAAGTTGTCACGTTACTCTCCAAGTTGTCACGTTACTCTCCAAGTTGTCACGTTATTTTCCAAGTTGTCACGTTACTCTCCAAGTTGTCACGTTATTTTCCAAGTTGTCACGTTACTCTCCAAGTTGTCACGTTACTCTTTAAGTTGTCACGTTACTCTCCAAGTTGTCACGTTATTCTCCAAGTGTCACGTTACTCTCCAAGTTTAAGAAGTTTAGAACAATGTAGGGTCGTCTTAAAGTCGTATTTAAAAATACAAATGTAGATTAAAATAAATATATAAAAATCTGTTGTAAATCGATCCTTTTCTAAAACACCCTGTCAAAGATAGAAACGTGTGTGTAAAAACTTGACTGAATCGCTTGTGTGAGTCTACCAAAAACAGACGTGTGAATTGTCTCAGCCGAGGTTGACGTAACTCTCCCCACAGTACACTGTAGACACAGTCTACACACTCTGGTGGATATTGTGACAGCATTCTCAGTGCATTCGCTCTTACCCGCTAGGTAACGTTATTAACCCTTAGATGGTCATGCGTGTATGCTAATACACATGTAGTAATAACACATTGAAATATTCAGGTTTTCTCTCGGTTATAAATGGTAGATGGATGATCGCCAGATTTAGTATGACCAGGATTGTCGCGGGTAGTCTAGTTACCCCGTGTTTGAGAAGTTAAAGAATCTGTTCGCTGGAAGGTAGGGGAGTGGGTGGGGGTCTTGTGAAGGTAGAACAATATGGTAGGTAACGGGTGGTGGCGGGGGTGGTAAAGTGGGGTGGTGGCGGGGGTGGTGGTATGGGGTGAGTCATCTGGTCATTAAGCGGAAAAGTGTTGTACACACGCGCGGCAAGAGCACACACACACGCACTCTGTAACCCTGCGCGTGAAACACGTTGCTAGCTATTAATAGCTCTCAGTGGAACACAAGCTTGTTTATACTCGTTTTTGTGCGCTTTTCGTTCTCTCAATGGAGAGATGGGATGTTGTGTTGTGGCTGGAAGCTTTTTTCTCCATAGATTAAGTGTTTGTTTACACGGCCAGATCGATAGCCTTCCTGGCCAGCATTGGATCTTTCACCTGGCCACGCCGGTTTGTGTGTATCACGTGAACACTTCTTGCAGCGGTCAAGTTTATGTCTATTACACTTTATATGGAATACATTAAGACACATTACTGATTAACCCAAACACAATGGTGTGTCACTGTTTTGAAAATTTATTTACACACTGTACAATATTAGCTACCTGACCTACCTAATACAATATTAGCTACCTGACCTACCTAATACAATATTCGCTACCTGACCTACCTAATACGATATTAGCTACCTGACCTACCTAATACAATATTCGCTACCTTACCTACCTAATACAATATTCGCTACCTTACCTACCTAATACGATATTAGCTACCTGACCTACCTAATACAATATTAGCTACCTGACCTAGCTAATACAATACTAGCTACCTGACCTAGCTAATACAATACTAGCTACCTGACCTACCTAATACAATATTAGCTACCTGACCTACCTTATACAATATTAGCTACCTGACCTACCTAATACAATATTAGCTACCTGACCTACCTAATACAATAGTAGCTAACTGACCTACCTAATACAATAGTAGCTACCTGACCTACCTAATACAATAGTAGCTACCTGACCTACCTAATACATCAACTACCTGACTTACCTGATTACATATTTCCCTACCATCTTTAAGTTTTTGAAAGTCTGTGCTGGGTGTAGCCCCCCGCCCCCCCCCCCCCCCGGCGAGATTGTACTCAAGTTTTGAGAGATTAGTCCCTGCCTGCTGTGAGGTAATTGAGTACCGTGGGTGGAGGGAACAGGCTTGGTGAGTGAACTCATAAGATTTCCTGCTCTTTGATCACACAGTTACTTGCATTTTTTTACATCCATAAAATTCGACGTCTATCATAAGTTTATCGACAGCTGTGTATTATAAAGGTGTTTAAGTTGTTCAGACATGAAGTAAAAACCATGGTCAGGCTGAACTGATGTTCCCGGACCTGGTGCGTATAGACAACACCATGGCTTTGGTACTGACACTGTTGTTGTAGGTCTTCCGGGCTTTATTGTGTGCAGATGTGCTAGAAGATTCATTGTCCCTAGCAGAGGGTATCCAAATACATGCTGCTGTTGTTGCTAGTATGGGCTGCATTTAAATCATATGTATCACGGTAGTGCGGTATAAATAGACATGTCCCATTTCTACATAACCTTGCCATGCAAGCTTTGAGACATTCTTCAGTGGAGGAGCTGTTGATGGTGGGGACAATGGCAATTAACATGCCATATGTGAAACGTCTTTATGAATTCAAGTCTTACTTCTGATTCCATGTGTGTATTTCTTTCATCTGAGGCGAAATTGGAGTTTTATTTCATAGGATTTATTTACAGGTTTGGAGAGCGTGGGCGCTTCATTCGCTTTTGTTTGTTCCTCATTGTTTGACTGCTGCATTGTTTATATGCCCTGCTGTGTATGTGCCCCTCTGTGTATGTGTCGCGTTATGTATGTGTCCCGCCATATAGTCAACTGTCTGTTAATACAATCCCGGCTATTTAAACCTCTACTCTCAATATCTCAGCTTATAAAATCTCATTTTTTAATAACTCAACTCCGAACTTTCTCGTGTTATAAATGCAGCTGACGTCAATGTGAATATAGCATGTTCGATGCACTATTCTAGTCTTCACTTGTCAATTACGAATCGGCCGGCCCGAAGAGCTGGTATGTAATGAGTCGTTATTCACTGGACCGTTTTGACGATGACAAACCTGGTACGGGAGGGGGGGGGGGGGCAAGTTCCGTCAAACAGAAAAGGAAAGGTAACGAGCAAGTGAATAGACGCGCAGCGATTAGATCCATGCATTCAAACCTGCCATTCAAGCTGATTTCTGTGGCTGTCAAGCGATTGGTGACTCTAGACAGGGTTGATCAGCGCCGTATTGTTGTCCCTGAAGTTGACTCATTTATCTGTACACTTGTCTGTACACCTATGGGCGATTTGCTCCATGCACGCTAACCACTTCATGGGATTTGTTTTCCAAGGGATTTGTTAACAGTGAGATGTTATCCTGTTTGTAACGTTATGATGCAACTGTTGTGTTCACTGGAAATACAATGTGCTTCACACCAGGCCCAGTGCGGGATAACTGGGACATTGATTGATTTTAGTGCTTAATCGTCGTTAATTATTAACGGTAATTACAGGCCTACATAAAGTATTATTCCCCATCGTATAAAAAATATGTTAGATTATTTCAATATTATTATTTGGCTTGAAAAAGAAAATAATGCTCTGACAACCTGTATATCGATACAGACATAGTAAATCAATCGCCGCCTTTACTTCATAGTGACGGTAATCACGTGACGCTACATCTTAGGATCAACTTAAGTCTCTACACCACCGAGTCACGCATTTCGCTGATCTGGTGGATTTGACATAGTTGTCCTACCTAGGATGGCGGGGTCATGAAATGTTTTCTCACATGTAATACCACCTAGATAGACTGGTCTAGAAAGAATGAGCCGTGAAAAGCCCCCTCCCCCCACCCCACCCCAGATAGACGGTCCCGGAAAGAATGAGCCGTGAAAAGTTGAGGAGTGCAAGGAGCAACAAAAGAAATTGATTGCCGGTTGAGTCACCCAGTCATCATTGATTCAGGGACCCCGGGACGCGGCATGTTGCGCGTGGCCTTGTTCCTCCACCCTGTCTATCCCCCGATCTTTCCCTCCATCCCGTGCCCGTCAATGGGTTGTTTTGTTTCTACTGGGTGACGAACTACAGCATGGCCGTGTGTTCTGAGGATTGTTGGTCTCGGCATTGGTTACAGTGAAACATTCAGTTCATGGATGGTAAGAATGCCCGCATTTTTATGGATTAACCTAGTAAAATAGTAGTTACTTTCCCCCTATTAGCACACCTTAACGGAAATGATTTCGTGTCGGTTGATGTAATTTGTTACTCGAATAACGTTTTGGATGCTGTTGTTGAAACGAGCAAAACTTTGTGATTGATTTAAGCGTTTTATAGAGTCCCACTCTTTCTTTCAATGAGATTGATTTTGCGTTTTGATGCTATAGTCATTACTGTTGTTGTTTACCGCAAGATGGTCAGTGGTCATAATGTTTCATAACCTTTCTTTACATGTAGCCTATATCGCAGAGATGCCTGTATTTGTGTGTTACTCATTTATCAGATGCAATAGCTTGCCAGTTGCTCCAAGACAGACATCGCGTAGTGTTCAGTGATAGCGCTGTGTATTCTCGTGGGTTGATTTGGTGCTTGAATATTTAGACAATTGAGACGTGATATTCGCTCGTTGGACCAGATTATAAACATATCTATGTAATATGTGCTCATTTGACGATATCTTAGACATGTGATATGTGCTCACGGGAGCATATCTTAGACGTGTAATATGTGCTCATTTGACTAGATTTTGGGCATGTAATATGTGCTCATTAGATCAGATATAGACATGTGATATGTGCTCACGGGATCAGTTATAGACATGTGATATGTGCTCACGGGATCAGTTATAGACATGTGATATGTGCTCACGGGATCAGATATAGACATGAAATATGCGCTCACGGGATCAGAACTTAGACATGTGATATGTGCTCACTGAATGGGATATAAGCTCTAGCCCTGTGGACGGCCATGAGAGCCAGCCAGCATGGATAAAATCCGTCAAAAAGCCCAGTACCTGCTGGAGAAGCTTCACGAGAAATACGGAGTCCAGTCACGCCACCACATCCATCTGCTGGTGGCCACTGTAGGCAGAAAGGTCGGTCTCTCTTGCATGGCCGTGCATTCGGCTTTCTCTTGTAACTGATCTAGTTCGTTATGACATACCTTTGGTTTAGCTAGATTGGTAATAAATATATATATTAACACACATACACATAATATTGATATACCCAGTAGATCGTTACAAGTTACACGAATCACGCATATTGTCTTAGCTAGGACAGCACATACTAGATGGGGTGGTCTCAATGCTAGTTTTGTGACGACACATACCTTATCACTCCCTGGTCGCAGAATTTTTAACTGATTTTCCCGGTCATTGCATGCATCATAACCGCATCCCCTAGCAATCTCTACATGCAACCCATGCAACCTCCCCCCCCCCTCTCTCTCTCTCTCACTTGTCTCTACACCTCCGTGTTTCTGTACAGCTGCGTTCATGACATGTCCCATAATACGTGTGGTTATCTCCCATCTTTCAACACCCCCCCCCCCCCTCCCTCGGCCACTGCAAATGATAGCTTGTGTGTCCCACATTTCATCCCACAATGTGGTTTATTATATCCTTCTCATTTATAAACCATCTTATTATCTTTATCATATAAACCCATCCGCCTTCAAATAAAAGGTGCATTCATGAGAATATTCACTAATTGTTGTGTACATTGCAATAGAATGTTAACACGAGCAATAACACCAGCAATTACACCAAGGTCTATCAAGCATACACGTCTCTGTGTTAACTCGTGGCTGCATCGGTCAACTATGTATGAATATTACAATTATCCTAGATCTGATGAAGCCTAGCGGGGATTATTACAATTATTTTAGGTCGTATGAAGTCTAGCAGGGAATACAATTATCCTAGATCTGATGCCTAGCAGGGAATACAATTATCTTAGAAATGATAAAGTCTAGTAGGAATACAATTATCCTAGACCTGTTGAAGTCGAGCAGGGAATATTACAATTATCCTAGATCTGATAAATCTAGCAGGGAATACAATTATCCTAGACTGTTGAAGTCTAGCAGGGAGTACATATCCTATGTATCACTATGTTGTTCTTATAGAATGGTCATCAGGTAAACACAGATGCTCTTCCACAAAGATGCTGATACCTAGACCAGCAATACTTAACTACTTGACTTGATGTGATTTAAAATTGAAATGGCCTCTTGAAACTGATGAAAATACAACACTTAAGTTGTAGAAATCGCTTTATGCCGCCACCATAGAAACGGTTGGATCGTACAGCTGTTTTCAAAGTATCAACTTTACACACATTTCAACAATTAACCAGTCATCTCAGTGTATACTGCTGCGTCTGATGGATACTTTAGCCAGTGTCATCTGTACAGAATCCATCTGATGGATACTTTAGCCACTGTCCTCTGTACAGAATCCATCTGATGGATACTTTAGCCACTGTACTCTGTACAGAATCCACCTGATGGATATCCACAAAGACGGCTGTAGCCACATTATTACTCCCCACAGTTTCTCACTTGGCCTCTTATTTTCAGGAGGGCGAAGACCAGCTGCAGCAGGACCACTGGTACCTTGTGGACGCCCACGGTCAGAAGTTCCGTTTGCCAAAGACGATGTTGTTCCTCGGGAGAGAGGAGTGTGATGTCGTTCTGGCGGTAAGTAACAAGTCCATATTGGGGGTGGTATTGATTTGTGTACAAAGTACACATTGGGGGTGGTATTGATTTGTGTACAAATTACACATTGGGGGGCTCTAACTGATTTAAGTACCAAGTCAGTGTACTTTGGTGGTGGTATCAATATGTGCACAATTCCACCTTTCAGTGTGTGCTTCCCTTCTGTAAGACCAATGGTTTTATGGAGGACATCACATGATAAAACAACATGGTTTTATGACGCCTGACATGAAAATATAGTTTCAACTTACGAAGTGTTTCCCCAGCAACAAGTATGGTTTCCCACATCTCATGTAGGAAGAAATGATAAGTTATCGTAAAAAAAAGTCGTATATTTCAGCCCATTACTCCGCCAGTAATTACAGGCAGTGATACAATCTATTAAACCTATTTGTTAGTGTCATCCCTTTTGAAAACCATGTAATCCCTTGAAAAACAAGGCTGTGACATATTATTACCTGGCTACTTTGTTTTGTCTAGGTTTATAAAGTGATTGTTTCTCTACGTCTCTTTTGTAGGCTAAAATTACATACGAGAAAAAAAAAGAAACATTTGATTCGTGTTTGATAGTTACGCTACAGCTCTAGTTTGTGAAGGTTGATCTTGTAATTTCCCGAAATTTATTTCGTGATTCACACGACCCTCCACCCCCACCCAGTCCCATAAGTTTTTACTGTTTATAATTGTTTTGCTAGCTATTAGAATTGACCTTAATTAATACAATCACATTGGTCGTAATTAATACATTAACATTGACGATAATAACATGTACATTGACCTGAATAAATCCATTCAACTTGACCTTACATTTAATTCCTGCTGTACAGTTGTCAGTCTCTGGACACACGATTAAAAGATGAGACTGTGACTTGTTTACGTTCTACCAAGGCTGGTTTCTTCTTGTCTAACCTGAAGGCTGTGGCATCACGCTGTAACTCGTTTAATGCCAGACAGCCATGTGGCCAAATGTCGACCACTGGAGATTTACTCGAGGCGATGCCAGAAGCCTTCATTAGCCTGACTAGGAAGTTTTCGTTCACTGGTCTTATAGCCAGCCCTTAAAGCAGGCTTCTCCCTAAGCCATGTTAGCAAGCCTCTCCCTAAGCCCTTATAGCAAGCCTCTATCTAAGCCCTTATAGCAAGCCTCTCGCTAGTCAGCCCATTTAGTCACTAGCCAGCCCTTTTAGCAAGCCTCTACCTAAGCACTTACAGCAAACCTCCCGTCCCTAACCAGCAATAATAGCAAGTCTCTTACTAACCTGCACCTAGTACCCACCTCCCTCTAGCACTGGATACTAGAATCGAATCTGAGACAGGCAGACCAGACCTTTGTAATTTTGTTCAAATTGTTCATTGGTAAATCTAGCTGCCTGAACCCGCAACACGTCGTCTCTTCTTTATACAAGGGAAATAACTCAGTTAAAACCCAACCTCGTCAACACCTAATTACACTTTTTTATGTGTTTATCTTGTTGAATGCCTTCAGTGTCACGTAAAGTATACCACCCAATCGATCATAGACCTGTGGCGTTGTTAAACCTATTGTAGCGCGTGTAGGGTGAATGCACTGTTGTGACCAATACATAGCGTTATAGACGGATCAACGCATCTTGGGTGACTGCACACTTATGACCATTACATAACCTTGTGGACGGACCAACGCATGTTGGTATGTTTGACGTCCACACTGCACACCCGACACAAGGTGAGTGTCCTTAGGTAAAAAGCCTGGTCTGGCCATCACTGTACTGACCTACTATTGTGACCTACTGTGTTGACCTAATGTTTTGACCTACTGTTTTGACCTACTTTGCTAGCTTACTGTGTTAAACTACTGTATTGACCTACTGTGCTAGCCTGCCGTGCTGACTTACTGTGCTGACCTACTGTAATGACCTACTGTGCTGAACTACTGTATGGACCTACTGTGTGAACCTACTTTGTTGACCTACTGCGCTAACCTACTGTGTGAACCTACTGTGCTAGCTTACTGTGCTAGTCTGCTGTGCTAGCCTGCTGTGCTGACATACTGTGCTGATCTACTGTGCTGACATACTGAGTTGACCGACTGTGTTGGTTTGCTGTGTTATTGAAGGTAGTTTCTATAAGAAACTTATCAAGCCGGCCAGTAGGTTTAGCCGCTGTCACCAGTCGAATATCACTCAGTTGGTCCCCGCCAGTTGAATACGACCAGGACAGAGCCGATAGCCCATGCAGGTAAATCTGTTTCCGCCTGAATGGAAGCATACATTTAAAATTGGTGTAGATAGCGGCACCGGTCCAGGGCCCGTGTATTTAAACCGATATCGATTTGATCAGTTTGATTTGTTAGTGGGTCGCGCATGTAAAGTGCTGGGCGATAGTTCGATTATCGATACCTTACAGGTGAAATCGATTGATTTTCTCTTTTCGCTATTGGCACAGCGCAGTTTGCTGTGAGGTTCGTGTATCCTAAGATACGCTCTAGTCTTGTGTGACTATCTGTAGGTGGACCTAAGATACGCTCCAGTCTTGTGTGACTATCTGTAGGTGGACCTAAGATACGCTCCAGTCTTGTGTGACTATCTGTAGGTGGACCTAAGATACGCTCCAGTCTTGTGTGACTATCTGTAGGTGGACCTACGATACGCTCCAGTCTTGTGTGACTATCTGTAGGTGGACCTAAGATACGCTCCAGTCTTGTGTGACTATCTGTAGGTGGACCTAAGATACGCTCCAGTCTTGTGTGACTATCTGTAGGTGGACCTAAGATACGCTCCAGTCTTGTGTGACTATCTGTAGGTGGACCTAAGATACGCTCCAGTCTTGTGTGACTATCTGTAGGTGGACCTAAGATACGCTCCAGTCTTGTGTGACTATCTGTAGGTGGACCTAAGATACGCTCCAGTCTTGTGTGACTATCTGTAGGTGGACCTAAGATACGCTCCAGTCTTGTGTGACTATCTGTAGGTGGACCTAAGATACACTCCAGTCTTGTGTGACTATCTGTAGGTGGACCTAAGATACGCTCCAGTCTTGTGTGACTATCTGTAGGTGGACCTAAGATACGCTCCAGTCTTGTGTGACTATCTGTAGGTGGACCTAAGATACGCTCCAGTCTTGTGTGACTATCTGTAGGTGGACCTAAGATACGCTCCAGTCTTGTGTGACTATCTGTAGGTGGACCTAAGATACGCTCCAGTCTTGTGTGACTATCTGTAGGTGGACCTAAGATACGCTCCAGTCTTGTGTGACTATCTGTAGGTGGACCTAAGATACGCTTCAGTCTTGTGTGACTATCTGTAGGTGGAAGCTATAGGATGTAATGACATAATCGGTGCATGTGATATCACACAACGCCGGTCACTTCCCCTGTATAACGTGCACAGACGTTTGTTATATGGACCTTTGTACGGAAGTTTGTTATATGGACCTTACTGTTGGTAAGTTGATGTCGGAACTAGACAATGTCTACATACTTTTGTTATATGGACCTTACTGTTGGTAAGTTGATGTCGGAACTAGACAATGTCTACATACTTTTGTTATATGGACCTTACTGTTGGTAAGTTGATGTAGGAACTAGACAATGTGTACATACTTTTGTTATATGGACCTTACTGTTGGTAAGTTGATGTAGGAACTAGACAATGTGTACATACTTTTGTTATATGGACCTTACTGTTGGTAAGTTGATGTAGGAACTAGACAATGTCTACATACTTTTGTTATATGGACCTTACTGTTGGTAAGTTGATGTAGGAACTAGACAATGTGTACAGACGTGTTTGTTATATGGACCTTACTGTTGGTAAGTTGATGTAGGGGTGTACAAAGTTTGGGCCGTTTGTAAGATTTTGTGTCTCTCCCCTGCTATCTTATACCCAGGAGCCAGTCAAGTCTATAAACACATTAGCCTAGGTATGTGCTGGCCGAGGTATGCCGCTAACGACTGGCTAATTGGTTATTTGCTTTTTTAAATGAATTATCTTCAACGTTATATTTTGGTTAAACAGACAAGTTGCGCTTTATTTGCGATAATATGACAGTTTGAAACTGCTGATAAACTTAAATTGTTATGGAGATGTGTTGCACATTATAATTACAAGATATCAGCCGGGCTTTGTACTTTCAGTGCTGTCAATGAGACGAAATACTGTCCTTTCCAACCGAGATCTACATACTGGTGTCTATCTATAGGGAATATCAGTGGTTAAACTAGCCGTGTGTGTGCCGACCATTCATTGGAGCCTTACCACAAGCCCAGCTATGCGGCTTTACTAAAGCTCTGGGTATCTGAAGGTGGTTTTGTCTGCCTCTACCTCCTGCACCAGATGTTGTATACAGACTGTCCACGTTTGTCATTGACCTACTGTATAAGCTATATCTGCCCAGCTCAACATTAAAACTTTAAAATAAATTGTCAGCGAAAATCTTTTCTCGTGTTGTGCTGAGATACCCAGCACAAAATAAAAGCCACTTGATTTTTTAAATTCAGTTGTATTGAAGTTAAATTTAGCGTGTAACTGATTCGTGTGTGGGTCTGTGGTTTGAAGTCACCATTCAATAAATCATTCGTCACTCGTGTCTGTCATTCATTAGGCCCAGGTAACTGGCACACAGGTAGGCAATGTAACGCCAGCAAGGACGCGACACTTTGACACTTGTATGCCTGCTTTCATACTTGTTTGCTGGCTTTCATGCCATTCGACAGTGGTTTTGTGTTGGGTAACGTAACAAACTGAACCCAGTTGTCAGCCAGTCTGGAGGGTAACATGCAGGGGAAATAACTAGCAAAACTTTGCTGCTTGTCTGGATGTATGTATGTTTGTGAAGATGTGCAGGGGCCAATAACTGTGATGACATTTGGTGTTTGTCTAGATTTGTAATGAGACCCCAGGGCTATGATGTAAAAACGACTGCTGGTATTTTTTCCCATGTGCAATTACGTTGTGCAACTTTATTCAGTATTTAACAATCGAGGCCTAGCTTGAGAATGTTCTGACATTGTCTGGGCACTGGGCATTGTTGGGTCCTAGACTCTGGGCACAGGGCATTGTTGGGTCCTAGACGTTTGAGTCTAATCAGCGCTAGATCACTGGGCATTGTCACTGAGGTCTACACTGTCTCAACATGTCTCAACCAACGATTTTATTTCCTACTGCCTACACAAGCCGTTCAGGAAAACCGTGCCACCTTATGTTAGACACGAACAGATTCTGGACGAATTCGTTTGAGGTTCGCGACCTAACGGTAGTTTATTCCCTGCTTGCTGTCCGTCTGCTACTCCACTTTAAATTTTAATGTTTTCAACAAATCTGACGAACCAGAAGACATGACCTGGCAGCTTGCCATACGGTACACATGCTAATGGTTGTTTACCTCAGTCAATCTTTCAATCAATCTCAGACGGTCAGGGTTTAAACACACTTCATTTCACTGGGTGTATATGTGTGGTTCTGTAGTTGACTTTTCAGTATGTGTGTGTGGTTCTGTAGTTGACTTTTCAGTGTTTGTGTGTGGTTCTGTAGTTGACTTTTCAGTGTGTGTGTGTGTGGTTCTGTAATTGACTTTTCAGTGTGTGTGTGTGCGTGTATGTGTGATGCTATAGATGATTTTACAGTATATTTGTGATATGCTTGTATTGCTGTAGACTTTATTGGTACGGTGTGGTTGTGATGCTGTAGACTTTATTGGTACGGTTTGGTTGTGATGCTGTAGATTTTATTGGTACGCTGTGGTTGTGGTGCTGTAGACTTAATTGGTACGGTGTGGTTGTGGTGCTGTAGACTTAATTGGTACGGTGTGGTTGTGATGCTGTAGACTTTATTGGTACGGTGTGGTTGTGATGCTGTAGATTTTATCTGTACGGTGTGGTTGTGATGCTGTAGACTTTATCTGTACGGTGTGGTTGTGATGCTGTAGACTTTATCTGTACGGTGTGGTTGTGGTGCTGTAGACTTAATTGGTACGGTGTGGTTGTGATGCTGTAGACTTTATTGGTACGGTGTGGTTGTGATGCTGTAGATTTTATCTGTACGGTGTGGTTGTGATGCTGTAGACTTTATTGGCACAGTGTGGTTGTGATGCTGTAGATTTTATCTGTACGGTGTGGTTGTGATGCTGTAGACTTTATCTGTACGGTGTGGTTGTGATGCTGTAGACTTTATCTGTACGGTGTGGTTGTGATGCTGTAGACTTTATCTGTACGGTGTGGTTGTGATGCTGTAGATTTTATTGGTAAGATATGGTGTTAATGCTGTGGTTGCTGATGATTGTTTAATTGCTATTTACAATACTCGTACTAGAACATGTACTGTATAGAAAATAGTGTCTTACGACTAATTTATTTTATTACTGATGATATTGTTCCACATTGGTAAAGAAATTTAAAGAGCTTATCTTCCTACTAAATAGCTATTATTTTTGTGGAAACCGTTATCTTCCTTTTAGCCTCCCTTACAAAGCAATGACGTCCCCACGAAGCATTGGTCTCCCCTATAAAACATCTCTCTGTACGACGTGTTGTTGATCACAGTTTCAATTGTCTTTACTTACAGTCCCAGTCTGTAGACAAGAGACACGCCGTGTTGACCTTTGACCTGTACCTCAATCGCTTCAAGGTCAAGGACCTTAGCACCACTAACGGGGTAAGTAGGATGAGTAATTAAAACAATAAGTCGAGCAGAGGGTGAGCCACGTAAAATTCCCCCGTCGGCCAATGTAAAGTTGGAGCGAAATTCCCACCGACAGCATGTGTGAGAAACAAAATTCCCACCGACAGCCTGTGTGAGAAATAAAATTCCCGCTGTCCATTGATTTTTATGTACGACTCACGCCCAAAGAATGCAGGTCGTATTGATCTATTATGTTGAACAAGTCATCGATTGAGCGCATACCTTAACAGGTATAGGATCAATGCAGATGTCTAATCCACCCTCAGGTTAGTGGACAATATTTTATAATTAAAACTTTTTTAATTAAATCAAGACACAAATTGACACGTAGGTACATGATGATGGCCTGCAGGTAAGTTGTGTCTGTTGTCAACTGTAGCGGTGTGTCTGTCAGCTGTCCGCAGTGGCCCGGTTCTTTCTTTTAAGCATCTAGATACCTACCTGTCGTCTTTACCTTTACTTAACCCACTTCCAAACAGTGGGTGCTGCTTTATTTTATCTGTAGGTGGTGTTGTGGTGTCATCTCTGAGTGGTGTTTAGTATATCTTGTCTCTGGGTGATGCTATGGTGTCTATGTTGGTGTTCACTATGGTGTTTTGCTGTCTGTTATTGGTGGTGATTTCGTTTTTTTTGTCTGTGGATGTTTTGGTGTCTGTTTGTTGTGGATGATGTTTTGGTGTCTGTTAACTGTGAAGTGCTTTTCTGTCTGTTATGGGTGGTGATTTGGTGTCTGGATGGTAGTTAGGTGTCTGTTAGTTGTGATGTTTTGTTGCCTGGTAGTTGTGGGTGGTGTTCTGTTGTTTGTTAGGGGGTCATCCATAAATGACGTCACGCTTTTTAAAACTATTTTTACCCCCCCCCCTCCCCTCCGTCACACATCGTTACAAAAAGCCAGACTCTTCCCCCTAAAATGACGTCACACCTCAGCCTACAACCCCTCTCAAAATTGCAGTTGAATTTGTTTTAAAACATCGATATTTATTCAAAATCTTGTCTGAACTCTGTCAAATAGAGTATTTTAATCAATTTCTATTACAATTTATTAAAACAGTTTTCTAAAACGCGAAATAACGTCTAAAATTGGTTTTCTAACATTGCTTTTTTATAATGCAAAAGAGTGACGTCGCACCATCTGACCCCCCCCCCCCCTCCCCTTCATCACACACCGTCACAAAATTACGGACATCTCACCCCTACGAGTGTGACGTCATTTATGGATGACCCCTTAGTTGTGGTGGTGGGTGGTGTCTATGTTGCTTTGCTTGGAGGGTGTGTATAAGCCATAGCTGGAAGATGTTTTTTGAAATACCTGCAAGAGCCAAGCTTAACTACTCTTGATTCAACCATTAAGCTTTATTTCTTGGGTTATCTCCCCTTATCCAACGAACTAGAAGAAAAAAATAGGTTGGTATTTTAGCATTGACAAATGTAACTAGTAACCTGGGTGGCTATTTGGTCGTGTCTGACCTTGTCTCTGTACTGTAGTACTATTTGGTCGTGTCTGACCTTGTCAGTGTACTGTAGTACTATTTGGTCATGTCTGACCTTGTCACTGTACTGTAGTACTATTTGGTCTTGTCTGACCTTGTCACTGTACTGTAGTACTATTTGGTCTCATGTCTAACCTCGTCACTGTACTGTAGTACTATTTGGTCTTGTCTGACCTTGTCACTGTACTGTAGTACTATTTGGTCTTGTCTAACCTTGTCACTGTACTGTAGTACTATTTGGTCTTGTCTGACCTTGTCAGTGTACAGTAGTACTATTTGGTCTTGTCTAACCTTGTCACTGTACTGTAGTACTATTTGGTCTTGTCTAACCTTGTCACTGTACTGTAGTACTATTTGGTCTTGTCTGACCTTATCACTGTACTGTAGTACTATTTGGTCATGTCTAACCTTGTCAGTGTACTGTAGTACTATTTGGTCGTGTCTGACCTTGTCACTGTACTGTAGTACTATTTGGTCTTGTTTGACCTTGTCAGTCACTGTACTGTAGTACTATTTGGTCGTGTCTAACCTTGTCACTGTACTGTAGTACTATTTGGTCTTGTCTGACCTTGTCACTGTACTGTAGTACTAATTGGTCGTGTCTGACCTTGTCACTGTACTGTAGTACTATTTGGTCTTGTCTGACCTTGTCACTGTACTGTAGTACTATTTGGTCGTGTCTGACCTTGTCAGTGTTCTATAGTTTTGTAAGTGACCATGTTACTGACCACTGGAAAAGCCGGGTGGGCTGACATGTCACTGGAAAAGCCTGGGTGGGCTGACATGTTACTGACCACTTGATCAGTAGCAGATGACCCCAGCAACCACTACCCCACAGTGTTAAGTCCATTAAATCTGATGTAATGACCTGGACCACTGAGTGACTGGGAAAGTTTGATGTAATGACCTGGACCACTCAGTGACTAGGAAAGTTTGATGTAATGACCTGGACCACTGAGTGACTGGGAAAGTTTGATGTAATGACCTGGACCACTGAGTGACTAGGAAAGTTTGATGTAATGACCTGGACCACTCAGTGACTAGGAAAGTTTGATGTAATGACCTGGACCACTGAGTGACTGGGAAAGTTTGATGTAATGACCTGGACCACTGAGTGACTAGGAAAGTTTGATGTAATGACCTGGACCACTCAGTGACTAGGAAAGTTTGATGTAATGACCTGGACCACTTGGTGACTAGGAAAGTTTGATGTAATGACCTGGACCACTCAGTGACTAGGAAAGTTTGATGTAATGACCTGGACCACTCAGTGACTAGGAAAGTGACAGTTGTTAAAGACCCTGAGCTAGCAGTAGATGTTTGCACACAGTCTACTGGCAGAATACAGCACTGTTCCGCTTGGCTGGAGATGATAAGGTGCATTTGTGTGTGTGTCACCTGATAATCTGCCGGCCAGATAACACAGAACAGGTAATCCAGGTACAGTAGCACCTTTTACAGAGCTGGGTAGAGAAACAACTTCTCACAAGTGCATGAGGTAAGTTTAAATGTGCAATTAGATGGTATTCACTACTTTATTTATGCTACACGTCTTGTTATCAGTTGAATATCAATGATGTGTTCAGATGGTTTGATGTGGGGTACATATTGAAACAAGTTTGAGACCAGCTTCCCATCCAACACACCCATTTCAATAGTTACAATCTATTCAATGGCTTACATACCAGTTTATAACAGTACTGGCCTTAATGTCCAACTCACTGGCCAGCTTGATTTAATCATTGGCCAACTTAATTTAATCTTAGCCAACATGATTTAATCTTAGCCAACATGATTTAATCACTGGCCAACATGATTTAATCACTGGCCAACATGATTTAATCACTGGCCAACATGATTTAATCACTGGCCAACATGATTTAATCACTGGCCAACATGATTTAATCACTGGCCAACATGATTTAATCACAGGCCAACATGATTTAATCACTGGCCAACATGATTTAATCACTGGCCAACATGATTTAATCACTGGCCAACATGATTTAATCACTGGCCAACATGATTTAATTACTGGCCAACTTAATTTAATCTTAGCCAACATAATTGAATCACTGGCCAACATGATTTAATCACTGGTCAACATGATTTAATCACTGGCCAACATGATATAATCATTGGCCAACTTGATTTAATCACAACCAATTTATTTGCATAACAGGTCAGTAGGTATTGGCCAATGTCCAACCCTCAGATCAATGAACCCAACTCCCATGTCATAGACATCAACAGCTGATGTGGACCAAAGTTGAGCAGGGACATGGTGAATACACTTAATTGAGCTACTCTCTAAACTCTATATTTCTGTCTTTCAGACATTTGTGAATAACTCCCGCATCCCAGAGCAAGAGTATGTGCCATTAAACCACATGGACTCTATACGGTTAGGTCATGATATCCTTTAACCTCAAGCTTCTTATACAAGTGTAGGGCAGGTATGCTCTGTTGTATGGGGAAAATACAATCATGTTACAATAATTTGTATCTTGTACACATCATTTTATAATAGGACTAATGAAACATGCATATCTAAAACAATTGGTCTAATTAATTTTTTTTCTTAAGTGTTTTCAAGTACAACAAATAATTGTACTATAATAAAAAATTTTTTTAATCACATGTATTTTTTAACACGGATATTTTAACTCATCAGTTTAAGTTGAAAATTTAAAAAAATAAGACCTTAACATTGCTGACATGCTATGATGTACCATATTGAACAAGGCAGCCAAATAACCAATCAAGGGGGGCAACTACCAGATCCTCAGTACATTCCTTCCTGGGCCACCAGGCTCCCCCAGGAAGCCTCTACAATCCACGTTCATGCACATGCAATGGCAGAGTGCCAAGTAAGTTTTTACACCTTGTCTTTTTTTTACACTGGGACTAGCTCAAGTAGAACTAGGCTTGTAGACCTGCTTAAGTTATCACCATATACCACTGCTGGCTATGTAGTTTAGATTCCTGTGTTGTTACGCGGGGGGGGGGGGGGGGCTTCTACCTCCCCTAACCTCCTAACTTGAGGTGGGGGGGGGGGGGGGGTTGTTGACAGACATGGTGAGATGCCCAGCCCAGCAGATGGTTTTATCTCTATTGATTGCTTGAACTCAGTCTAAATACATGTTGATAGATTGCCCTCTCACAGCTAGCTGATAGTTATCTGCTTGAATATATCATCTCATAGTAGCTTATAGACCATACTACAGTAAGAGCTTATAGACCATATAGTAATAGGTTATAGACCATACAGTAATAGCTTATTTGCCATCCTTCAATACCTTATACAGTTACACACCATCTTGTATTCTTGCTTTACTAATACACACAGTTTTCCATAGATGACGTCAATATTGTTTGGAGGTTGACACAAATTTTTTCCAGTTTTTGTTAACAAATAAATAAAGTCAAGTGTAGAATACAAACATTTTTTTTGTAAATTGATAGAGATCTATCGGTTATTTAAACTTACATAGCTCACACTATTTCTGTCTGGTAGTTATGCCAGTCATTAGCGTAGCTTTACCCCAAAATAAGAATCCAATTGGAGTTTTATAATGATGTAATTGGGCTAGCAGGCTGGAGATGCTGGGAGTTTAAAATAGTCTTGTAGAATTTTTTTTACCTTGCTTTATTAGAACCATTTTTGTAGTCAAGAAACCTCAAACATAAAAACTATCCTGTCCTTAAAAAAATAGAAAAAAAAATAACAATAATGAAAACTAGCGATAAGTTGGATGTATAAGCACATTTTGTGGAATGCATGTTTAGTGATTTTCATTACTTTTTTGATAAAGCATTCTACTATATAGTCAGGCCAGTTTTCATTGTTTGTGGTTTTTTATAATGTTTGTAATAATATTTTTCAACTGTATTGCAATAATTGTGTCTGTGATAAAGGCAGTAACTTGTCCAGTTGAGTGGTGATGATGTGGCCCCTGATACTAAAACTAAAATGTGTGCCGACTAAAATATAATGGGTTGGGTGTCTGCAGAAATATAACCCTGATACACTATCATGCTGTGGGATACAGTGTGTTGTTGGATGAAGTGTGTTTGTGCGTGTGTGCTGAAACTAATATTGACCCAGCACATAGCATGATGGGTTTGTGCTGTGGGATACAGTATACAGTGTGTTGTTGGATGAAGTGTGTTTGTGCGTGTGCTGAAACTAATATTTACCCAGAACATAGCATGTTGGGTTTGTGCATGCAAATGTTCATTTGAAAAAAATAATTTGTTCTCCATCTTTTTTTTGGAGCTGCATTACATCGGATTATATGGATGGTTTCCTACCTTGGTATGTTCCTCTCTTCTTAAGCTTGGGATTTATTCTTCTACTTTTTATTTTATTTGTTTTGGAAAAGATGGTGCATACATTTGCTTGAATATGCCATTTTATTTTGTTTTTACTTGTGTTGTATAAACTAATTTAGTATTTAAAAGCATTTATTAAAATAATAAAATAATATTATATTTTAAATTCAGTTTCTAAATTGGCAATACTAACTTTGAGTTTGAATTCTTTTTTTAAATTAATTTTTAAAAGAAATGGTAGTTTTTTTTTTTAACTATGACCATAGTTTTAGCATTGGTGTTCTCCTAATGAATGGTTCTGTGATCAATGTAAACTCTTGTGCTACAGGGCTGTATAGCAGAACAGAACATAGAACACACATGTAGTCTCAAGCCAGAGAGCAAGGGAATGGAGGATGCCACAAGTACAGAGTCACACAGCCAGCACCATCCTCAGCACGACCACCAGCACCAGCACCAGCCACACCATGACCATCCACACCATGACCAGCCACACCACAACCATCCACACCATGACCAGCCACACCATCAGAAACATGAGCACCACTCAGATAAACAACCTCAGGACCATTCAGGCCTGGCTGACCATGACATACCTCAGCAACATTCCCCAGCCACAGGTCACCCCGCTGACCAGTCTTCTGATGGCCACCTAGAGAAGGCAGTGCCAGACATTCCTGAAGACCTGGCCTCAACTCCTTTGGGCCGCAACACCTGGCCCAGGAAAAAAGTCAGGCAGGTGGCCCATGTTGGCTCAGTGTTCAACCAAGAGTCGCCAGATAAATGTGAGGCTACTGAGGCCAGGCCAGCAGGAGCTCTGGCCCCCATGTACTTTGTCTCATTTGATGACTCGGTCTGTAACGGCTCTTCCTCTCCTGTGGACAGTCATAGGAAACTAAAGAACAGCAGGAACCCTTCTGGTGAGTACTTCTTCTTCTCCATGTAGCCTGCGGTCACCTGCTGGTGTAGCCACAGGTCACCAGCTGGTGTAGCCTGTGGTCACCTGCTGGTGTAGCCTGCTGGTGTAGCCTGTGGTCACCAGCTGGTGTAGCCTGTGGTTACCTGCTGGTGTAGCCTGCGGTCACCTGCTGGTGTAGCCTGCGGTCACCAGCTGGTGTAGCCTGTGGTCACCTGCTGGTGTAGCCTGCGGTCACCTGCTGGTGTAGCCTGCGGTCACCTGCTGGTGTAGCCTGCGGTCACCAGCTGGTGTAGCCTGTGGTCACCTGCTGGTGTAGCCTGCGGTCACCAGCTGGTGTAGCCTGTGGTCACCTGCTGGTGTAGCCTGCGGTCACCTGCTGGTGTATCGTGCAGTCACCTGCTGGTGTAGCCTGCGGTCGCTGGTGTATCGTGCGGTCACCTGCTGGTGTAGCCTGCGGTCACCTGCTGGTGTAGCCTGCGGTCACCTGCTGGTGTAGCCTGCGGTCACCTGCTGGTGTAGCCTGCGGTCACCTGCTGGTGTAGCCTGCGGTCACCTGCTGGTGTAGCCTGCGGTCACCTGCTGGTGTAGCCTGCGGTCACCTGCTGGTGTAGCCTGCGGTCACCTGCTGGTGTAGCCTGCGGTCACCTGCTGGTGTAGCCTGCGGTCACCTGCTGGTGTAGCCTGCGGTCACCTGCTGGTGTAGCCTGCGGTCACCAGCTGGTGTAGCCTGCGGTCACCTGCTGGTGTAGCCTGCGGTCACCTGCTGGTGTAGCCTGCGGTCACCAGCTGGTGTAGCCTGCGGTCACCTGCTGGTGTAGCCTGCGGTCACCTGCTGGTGTAGCCTGCGGTCATCTGCTGGTGTAGCCTGCGGTCACCTGCTGGTGTAGCCTGCGGTCATCTGCTGGTGTAGCCTGCGGTCACCTGCTGGTGTAGCCTGTAGTCACTGACCGGCAGCTGCAATCAACACTTCTTAATGTACTTAAATTTAATCGTAGAAAAAATAAATAGTAGAGAAATAGTTACTAAAGAAGGTATAGATGTGCTATTTATTAGGTAGCTTTAGAAATTTGACTTCTTTCTTTTACTGCCATTGTCTTTGAAAAAAGGATTTATTTGCGTCTTTGGCTTTGGCCACGCAGTACTCCCACACCCTCCCCTGTAGAAAAAAAACAACAACCATAAATTTGCCTGCTCCTCTAGCTAGAGCATATACAAAAAAAGTTTACAGCTTCAGTAGCTACCACACAAAACAAGCTTACGGCTCCCATAGCAACAGCAGACAAAAAGAAGTTTACAGCTCCTGTCCTGCTGAGAACATACCAGACATACTTTCCGCGCTCACCAGTTCCTTGAAACGTCTGAGTTGGCAAACAGGTGCCCGACGGCTGAGTGCGGGCCTCCATTGGAAGCAGACCAGAGGACCGGTGTACTGGGATCACACGGGCGGGGATCACAAGGATATTTTTTCGATATGATGCTACACTAGCTCACTAGTACAGTCCAGGAGTGTTTCTTTTTCTTATTTCGTTGGATTTCGATTTTCGTCTTGAATGGGTGGGTATAGCGAGCATGCTAAATATTTGGTGTCTTACAGTAAGTTTAATCTGGCACCTGTCTGGGAGGGTGCTAGAACCAGGTCTATCATCACAGTCGGGTAAGTAGAGAGGAAGTATTTTCATTCAGCTACTGGCTTGACACACTAGTGGTTTAAATCCCCTGGTATTGGAAGCTGTAGCCTATTGATGTGGCACTACAACATTATCTTCTTATCGTGACTATATATTTAAAGTGCGATTTAGTACAGAAGTTAAGGTTTGTTTCTGACCTGTCAAACATTGCTAGCTGGAACCTGTCACTAGAAGCGTGTGCCACAGTCACTAGATGCGTGTACCACAGTCACTAGTACCACAATGATTACATACTGTATTGCTAACTCACCACTTTCCCCATCAAAGGATAGCCAATAATTACTTATCCCCGACACAGTAGGGCCAGGAGCCACTTGTCCCCGACACCGTAGGGCCAGGAGCCACTTGTCCCCGACACAGTAGGACCAGGAGCCACTTGTCCCCGACACAGTAGGGCCAGGAGCCACTTGTCCCCGACACAGTAGGGCCACTTGTCCCCGACACAGTAGGACCAGGAGCCACTTGTCCTCGACACAGTAGGGCCAGGAGCCACTTGTCCCCGACACAGTAGGGCCAGGAGCCACTTGTCCCCGACACAGTAGGACCAGGAGCCACTTGTCCCCGACACAGTAGGGCCACTTGTCCCCGACACAGTAGGACCAGGAGCCACTTGTCCCCGACACAGTAGGGCCACTTGTCCCCGACACAGTAGGACCAGGAGCCACTTGTCCCCGACACAGTAGGACCAGGAGCCTCTTGTCCTCGACACAGTAGGGCCAGGAGCCTCTTGTCCCCGACACAGTAGGGCCAGGAGCCACTTGTCCCCGACACAGTAGGGCCAGGAGCCTCTTGTCCTCGACACAGTAGGGCCAGGAGCGACCTGCCCTGGAATTACCAGTGCCAGAAAGTAGAGCCACATGTTGTTTACCTTCCAGCCTGCAGATGTAGGCCACAAGAAACAACGCAGTTGTCTGCCCCATCCCTGTGTATCTGATATCGGCCCAGCCACCCCGTAACTTCCGCCTCTCGCTTTAACGACATCCAGTTAGCCTTGTTTATCAACATCCTCGTGTCTTTTAAGTTCCTCAAACATCACCATACATTGTTCCATGATGTTTGGTTAATAATGTAAGGCCGTTCAATAATTGAAACAAAACATGGACGTTTGAAATAGATTTAATGAGATAAGTTAACATTGATAACACAATGCATGTTGTGCGAGGCTGTCTAGGTCAGTGTAGACTGGGCTGAAAACAAAACATTTTCTGTTCCTCCTGCTAGCACTACAACCGGAAGTGGTTTTATTTAGTGCCAGGTAGAGGTTCCGCAGTTAGGTCACTTCTTATACAAGGCGTGTTAGGTCTCGTATAACACCTGCCCTCATCACAAAGATGGACAGTGTTAAGTCCCGTATAACATCTGCCCCCACCCCCATGATGGGCGTGTTAGGTCTCGTATAACACCTGCCCTCATCACAAAGATGGACAGTGTTAAGTCCCGTATAACATCTGCCCCCACCCCCATGATGGGCGTGTTAGGTCCTGTATAACACCATCGAAGAGAGCAGAGGGCCAAACCATTGACTCTTTACTTCCACCAAACCTGTGCTGACTCCTTACTTCCACCAAACCTGATGTGTTGACTCCTTACTTCCACCAAACCTGATGTGTTGACTCCCCACCAAACCTGATGTGTTGACTCCTTACTTCCACCAAACCTGATGTGTTGACTCCTTACTTCCACCAAACCTGATGTGTTGACTCCTTACTTCCACCAAACCTGATGTGTTGACTCCTTACTTCCACCAAACCGGATGTGTTGACTTCTTACTTCCACCAAACCTGATGTGTTGACTCCCCACCAAACCTGATGTGTTGACTCCCCACCAAACCTGATGTGTTGACTCCCCACCAAACCTGATGTGTTGACTCCTTACTTCCACCCAACCTGTGCTGACCCCCACATTACCGCCAGCCAACAGCCTCCTGTCAGTACTGACTTTTATACGAAGATCTGAAATAATGTCTCCCTCTACCTGTATTGTCTACCATCCAACCACTCCCCTCCCACCTTTCCGTGCTCCACCTGAAGGTGGATCGCACGTAGATCCCCCCCCCCCCCTCCCCCAGTATTTACCTTGCTATGTGCCACTTGAGGGGCACGTATTTTTATCGCCATTTCTTTCATGTGAAAGTTGCCACGAACATCGACATGTTTCCCAGTTTTCTTGTCGGATATGGCTCTGTGTTCATGTCTTCATGCTGATGTCAGTGTAGTGACAAGTCAGTGATGTGTCAGGTCTGACCGGATATATGAGTTGACCAGTGGTGCCAGCTGGTGGGGTGGGTGGCTGCATGCACGTGTTACAGTAGGGATCCTGGTCTGCAGGTGATAGTTCGTCTATCAAGCCTGCTCAGTTCTGGCTTGTGGCACATAGACTCGACATACAGCCAATATAAGAGAGCCCAACATGAGAAGTAAGTTTGGTTGTACGGCATGATGTGCTACATCTTTTGTGTTCGTGGTCGGCTCTGTGTGCTAGACTTGAAATGTCTGTTGTAAAATGCAGCCAGCATAGTGTGGTAGTTACTGGTCGGTTTGACTTAATGACCTCCTACCCCCACCCCTAGAAATCGAATTGCACAAACACGTGTGCCGCTTGCATATTACAATAACACAGACGGTAACACACACGTAACACGGGCTCGTTCAGCTTGTAGGATTCAAGTTGCCGTCTACGTCAGCAGTGTGTGATGACGTCACTTTGGTCTGTGTCGGCTGGGTTTTTATTTCCCCTTGAGTTATTTTTGTTCACTCGTACAAAAATAAACATCTCACCCTTTAAATAGCTGTAAGAAGCAACATTCATCAAACAACTAGTTGTAAGAATCAACATTAATCAAACAATTTGTGAAACCGTTGCTTATAAGAATGGCTCACTAGCTACAATGTTCTGCCTAATGAACTATCACCTACTCAAGTGGCGTTGATTGGCATATGATCGAATGGTCATTGGTAATTAATTGATTTAAGTGTCTTTGATATAATAGTCATTAGTTATTTAATTATAAATGGGTCATAGCTATTGGTTGATATATGGATGGGTCATTGTCATAGATTAATAAGAGTAATTGGTTATTGATTTATATAATTGTCACTGGTTATTGATTATTATAACTCATTAGTTATTGTTAATTGTCACTGGCTATTGATTGACATAATGGTCACCTTAAGCCGCAGTTGCTTGTTCCCCTACTTTAACAAATTATACAAAAGTGTGTGTTCAGTTATAAAAAAAAAGGTTCTTTGTTGTATTCAGTTCTCACTTATTTCCCTAGTTTGTGTACCAAAATGAGTGTGTTATCTCCCATGT